CCCTCTCTTAACTAACCTGTGTACATAATTGATCCAAAAACCAGTTACGTACTTCAGCCACCTTTTTCTTGTGAACAGCCAGTTCAAGCTAAATAAAAAATAAATTAATATCGAACACTTTCATAGTAAATTTCACCATATTGTTAAAAAAAGATACTTTATGCAACTCAGATTGAATAAAACAATTTCAGACAATACCTCTGATTTTGGTTTATATTTTTCAAGCCATAGATCTTCATCTTTCCTAAATTTGTGATGGGCAGCTTGGCTGCTTTCACCTTAAGATGGGTTAAGACTTGGGTTAGAATTTCCACAGAAAGTTATAAATGGTGCATTAAAAAAATTAATATTGCACAACTGATTTTTTGCAGTCTGTGAGTGAGGTGTAATCTATATCATCATAGTAATAAATTTAGACCATATATAGCTGCTATGATAGTTCTTTTCATTTCCTGTTTTCTCTACCCCTTTATTCATCTCACCACTGCACATTACTTATTCTGCTTAAAAGATTAATAAGTGAATCAGAGCTGCATGATGGTCTATCTGAGAAAGTGCCTGGAGCTTTACTTGTTACAAGTGAATGGTTGATGTTAGCTTGTTTTGTTTTCTTAGTATTTCCTTCATCAAAGTCACTGAATGAACTTGCAATCCATGCACTACGCTTCTGAAAACAAATGTACACAACAAGGTTATTAAGTCAGTTTTTTTTTTGGAAGAAAATCTAATATGTTTAAATCTGCTGAGTACCAGCTAAAAAATCAGGGAATCAAAATCAGAGTGCTGACTTAATTTTTAATAGTTCTTAATCTGTGCAAGACTTTTGGTCATACCAAACAATAAACAGTGAAAAGTGGAGAATTGCAGAGTTCATGTAATAGAACAACTGCATGGAATGTCCCAAAATCTCATTGAAATAATGGAGAAGAAAAAACCTGCTTCAACACAGATTTTGCAAGATTTTGAGAATAACTTAAAAGCTTTTTGTAATAATGCAAAAGAAAATGGCTGAGGCATACTTAAAACAAAAAAGGGCTTTGTGTGCCATTGACAGGATCTGAAACTGAAACCCTCTTACTTGTACATGACTGACACCCAGTCTACATGGCATGGCAGAACTCAATGAGATCCTATATGTGCAAAGGCAATTCTGTTGTGCACATGTTTTGGTAAGGATGGAAAAAATTGGGCATGCATTTGCCATAATCTGCAGAAAAGACTGACACTACTTCTTCACAACTGCTTGCCTTTGAATTTCTTGCAGTGGAGATTGTCTCCTTGTCCTTTTTTTGTGGCTTTGTCCAAGACGATTTTTGAAAAGTTCTTGGGCTGCAGAAGAAGTAATGAAAATAATAAACAGAAGCACAGTCAATAGGCTTCTTATAAGTCTTAAGATATTGATTCAGCAAAAAAAAGGGAAAAGTTAAAATTAATCGAAAAATACTTTATTTGTGCACAAAGTTTTTTTTACTAACTGTGCATGTAAGTGAGAAATGAAGGCATTTTCCATAAATTCTCACCCAAAAGAACTGCATGGTTCTGCTAACAATAACGAACCAACACGTTCTTCTCCATTCACTAAGATAATCCTTTTTGGATGCTTGCTCTGTGAAAAAAAAAATAGAAAACTGAATACATGAATCACACAAATCCCGAGTCAAGCGCATGCTGTACGATAGTTTGAACAAAGTTTACACGTTGTACTTGTTTAAAAGTACTCTGTCCGAGGCTCCGAGCTGTTAAGAAGGTATACACGACAAACAGACTTTCATACCATTGCATGTAAACACTGACTCTTTTTTCAAGTCGAACTCTGCAATCCTTAACCTCCGCAATCAACCATCATTTTGAAAGTTGCGGTTGTTTGAGTACTGAGAAAGGGATAGTCATTATGTGACTTTTACACCACACATGTAGGATCCATATTCGATTGTGTTCCGCCGGTTCAGTCTAAAGGTCGATAATTCTTCGCTGAAACGAACTTGGATACGAAGTTTGACAGCTTACAGGAAATACGTAACGAACCGCACACCGCTGTGGCGCAAAAGGCATTTCCGTTTCTTAAGGGAGTAGACAGCTAGCTTATCTGTGATAAATGAGTCATTTGCGTTTGATTTTGAGGTCGGCAGTTTCCCTTACGTTCAACGATTACAGAAGACTCTCTTTTCTGCACACTTTTGAAGTTTCTTTGTAAACTTGGGTCCATAGGTAGGCGCTAAAAACTGAGAACTCTGGAAATTTGTTCACTGGACCTCAACGCATACTAATAGTAAGATGATCCTGCAAATGGCTCCTCACCGAGTTCGTCTTGGCTGTACCAGTGTGTTTTATCATAGCGTCTTTCTTTTCCTCATTGGTCACTTAGTTTCTCTAACAGGTTAGTCAACTATGTTTAATTTTAGTACAGTTTCAGAATAAAGTAGCAGTAAAGACAATCTGTGATATATTCAAACCCTTCATTGTGGAGAGCCGCGGGGTTTCGGCAGCATCTCTTTAGAAATCTTTATTTCTGAAGCGTGCCGAAAGACAAGACTTTGAATGAGTTTCCTGCGGCGATAAAGCGAATATTTTATCCACACAAAATCTTTGCGCATTATTTGCTCTGAAACATTGTTTGATATTGATAATCTCTCTTTGGTAACAATGTTTGGTTAAGGGTTAATTTTTACTTAAATAAGTTGTAAATCTCTGGATAAGTTTATTACCTAGTTACGTTACTCTTCGGCATTGCCAGCTTGACCGGTATTTATTCTAGAGTAAGGGCAAATTTCTTCCCTGATAATTTGTTCTCTCTCAGACATATTGGTTCCTTATGTGTGCGTATGAATTATAATTAAAAAAGATAAGTTGAATAAAAATAAGCTTGTGAAATCCGGCCGGCTGTGAAGTAATGACACGCACGAATTGCGTTGAACAGATCGTTAGCTGTCTTGAAAATTAAAATTTCTCTTCTAGAAAAGAGCCAACAAAAAATTCCATAGAATCGTCCCTTTAGTTTTCTAAACAGTTTTTGAATCACTAAGTCAAAAGGATATGCTACTAAGTGACAAAGAACGATACATCTCTGCTTGCTATATATAACCTCGAATCGCGTGAGACGAGTAATATTAGACAGAACGGGTGTAATATAATTACTTGAACTCGAGAACATTTCCAAAAGTGTTTTCCTTCAATTGCTCTCTTTAAGCAACAATCTGTTGTGCATAATGTTTTCAAGGACTGGCAATAGAAACAGGAGCCTCAAGCCCCTATTGTCAGGAACCTTCATTAACACCCGGTAGTAAATTCATGCTAGAGTATATATTTATTCATGACTATCAAAGTTGCAAATTTTATTCAAAGTGTCATGAAAAAGATTTGTGAAACTATGCTTTGGTAACAGTCAATCTCAGTGACACCTGTATGGTGCTGAAAGAATATTTTTGAAAACCCATCATTTAAGTTGAAGAGTGGAATCTATTTTCTCTGAAAATATTACATTTGGACGTTAAAGGTTCCATGGATTACTCAAATTTATTAGTTTCAAAGAGGTTTGAAGGTATCCCATCTGATTTCTCAATTTTTAATGGGAGAAGACTTGAAAGGTCCCACCTTGTTTATCTTGGTAGTGAAGCAAAATTTTCCATCTGAGCAGCAACAGGGCTTAAGTCTTGACGATTACTGGGATGAAACCTGCCATGCCTTGAACCTCTGACAAAAGTTGTCTTATAAACCGTTCCAGCCTTAATTATCATCTCATATAAAAGTGCTGGTAATGTACTTCATCTCAAGACAATATCTTATATGTTGCCAGCCTGTTTGAGGTTTTACTCTCCTTCCTTCTAAGCTTGGATAATCCTCTCCCACACCTACCAAAGGTAGAACACTGATATGAAGACAATTATTCCTTATAGGTCCCTTAAGAAGACTTTAAAAGAAACATGTATCCTTCACATTATATGAATATTTATTTTTTTCTTATTGGGATTCGAGAGTTATGGAAATCAACTGAAATCATGATGTGTGAATTGCCCTCTGATGTGGTGCTGTTTCTTTCTTGACAAAGAACAGTGCTCAGCATAATATATTAAAGGAGTTCTCTTACAGAATCTGATTAATTTATTCTCAGAATTTTACCATAGTATCATTGCGCGACAACCTCAAACCGCCCATTTGACTGTTAAGCCTAAGGGCAAAAAAATGTGTTGAAAAATAGCCAAAAATTATGAGGGCAGATTTTTATTTGAAGATCTTGTAATTTTAAGCAAGAAAATGTGGTCAGAGGATTTAGATAATCAAACTTTTAAGAAAGGGATGTTATATTCTCTGGAAAAATGTAAATATAAATAGGGAGTTTTCAGTGCTTAAACCATTCCATGTATAGTCAAGTTTTCTTGCTTTAATCTTTGGGCAGGACTAAGGATGAGTAAATTGTGTGGCTTCAGATATGGTGCTTAAACGCAACCTTTCCTTCCTGTGTTCTACTTACAGCAGAATGATGTAACATACTTTTCTCAGAGCTTAAAAATCAGTAGCTACCTTCTGTTAAACCTTTTATTCCCAAGATATAGCAAAAAGTGATATTAATTCATTTTAAAGGGGAAAGGTTATGAGAAGATAGCAAAGCATCAGCTGGGGAATATTTTGTGATTGAACACCAAATTTTCAGATCTAACATTATGAGACATGTTTGGCAGACATTGCAGAGAATTGATAGTTAGATCAATCTATTGAAATTATGATTGGAGTTAACCTCAGACATGACATTATAGTCTAGTACTTGCAGTGTACCGTTACTCATTTTAACAAAAGAAATACCAGCATAATTATTCATTGATCTAATGGTACAATAATTATATATCTTTAGCCATGTTAAAAATTATGTCTGGTTGTCAAGTTTTTAGAAATTGTTTGATATTATGTGATGAAACATATTCATTTAATATTAATAGTCTTTCAAAAAGTGTAATGGTCATATAAGATAAAATTTTGTGGAAGCAAAGCCAATGTCATGCTAGATGTGACCTTTTTCAGTGGTCCTTCACCTGTCTAAATAGTGTTAGGGGGAAGTGGAGAGAGAGGTACATGGCTTCCAGGGTCTCTCTACTTTCCCCCAAGAGAATTACTAGAATTTGTCATTTTCCTTTAAAATGCCAACATCTTGTCAAGCAGAAAGATGATGTACTAAAAGATAAAGTTTGATTTATTACCACATTCTTAGAATGGAAATTATGAGAAATGTAAAGCAGACAGTAAGGAGAGTTAATATTGAGATTCTGGGAGAGAAAAGGTTTGAAAGGGTACTAAATTATAATTTCTTCTCTGTTGCAGATGGAAACTGTGGTCACATCATCTTTACAGAAAGAACTGGAGAATTTAAAACTCCAGATTACCCAAAGACATATCCAAGTCATTCAAAATGCTCCTGGTTGATAAAGGCACCTTCAGGATACAAAATCAAATTACAGTATTTTGATTTTGTGCTGGAAAGCAGTTTTAATTGCAATAGTGATAATGTTAAAATTTATGAAGGGAAGAACAGTTCTGCCACACTTATAGGAAAGTATTGTGGAGAAAAAAATCCATTTAATGTGGAAACACCAAGAAGTTATATGTATATCACATTCAAGTCTGACAGATCTTTGAATTATCGTGGATTCAAGGCCTCATTTGTCATGGAAGCAATGAGGCCCATAAAATCTATGATTTTTAAAAGAACATTGATGGATACCACTGTAAGAGTTGTTGGGCAACAGGTTAAATTTACTTGCCAGGTCAAAGATGGAAGTCTAAATATTGTTATTTCATGGACGAAAGATGGAAAAAGCTTGAGTCGGAGTAAATCAAACTTTACCATGATCAAAAACAGTTCTTACAACAAGAAATCAACTCTGTTGTTGACCAGAGTGTCAAAACATGATGCTGGAGAGTACAACTGCACAGTGGAGGACATTGATATGGGGAGAAAAATCTCTTCCTCTGGAAGCCTTCTTGTGAAAGGTACATGTTCTAAAGAGCTCATTCATTTTTGAGCTTTGAAATCAGAAGACTTTGACCAAGCTTTTTGTGTTCTCTCTGACCATAGAATAAAAATTTAGGTCCAAAATTTTTTTAAGCAATCATTCTGTTATACTATTGGTTGTCCTGTTGTTCTCAGAAAAGTAATTTTTTTTTCTTAACTCACCAAGGTGTACCATCTTAATTGTGATAAATAAATGTGAAATAATACTTTCTCAACTTTGAGGAAAAGATATCAATCCTCATTTCTTTATGACCAAAATTGAAAATAAGTGCACATTAATTAAAGTTCTTTTTTTTTCTTCTGAATTTTTAGAAGCAGCCAGCATAAAACAGGGCCCCTCTACCATGAATGTCTCAACTGGTGACACTGTTGTTATGAATTGCCAAGCCTATGGAGATCCCATTCCTAGGATACGGTATGGCTTTGAATCATTCACAGATCATAATGTACTGTAGTCTGCATTTGCAATGTTACAAAGATGTAAGGAAGAAACCTTTTTTTTAATTAGAAGAGATGCTATGATAAGCTCCATCAGTGAGGGCCACTTATATATTAGCCCAATGTATTTAGTAACATGTTGTTTCATTTTCATTTTGCTTTTGGTTTTTTTTTTTAATTGCATTAACAGTTGGAAAGTCAACGGAGAAGAAAAGACAGCAATGGCCATCCAAAAGAACTTCACCTCTCAGCTGAAATTCACAGCAGACATAAATGCAGTTGTGAACTGTACAGCAGCCAATCAGTTTGGAATGGACTGGAAAGCTACAAATATTGTTGTAACAGGTTAGAATTAACTTAAGGTTTGGCTGATTCTTTCTGATGATGTGCTCCATTTCTAGCTGAGCTGATTCCAGTTTTCATATTGTGAAGTCACCGGGAGTGTCGTCTCCCCCACCCCCCCCCCTCCCAGACAGGATACGAGTGCGATGCCATTAACAAATTAATGTAGATGCTGTAATTTAATTAGACTTTAAACACCTGTAAATTGTCACTGACAATTAATGATTTATTATATCTTAATTTATTTCATTAAGCTCCTGTGATACTTACCACTGTGACAGATGATGACTCAACAACTTTTGCACCCAGCTGGTCTTCACCTGTGATAACTATAGTGCCAGCCAATTTGACTGCAGAGCTGGGAGCTAATGTGACATTAAAATGTGCTGCAGAAGGAGATCCTAAACCCAAGATCAGGTACAGTTTGTGCAATGGAAGTGCACTAAGAATGCATAGTAGATACAAATATTAGTAAATTGTTTTCAGTGAGCTTGTTGTGAATGGCAAGCAATTTTACCAAAATTACCTCAAGCATCTTTTCTTTGACTTCCATGTACATTTGTGTATCCTCACTACATGTACATTTATTTATTAAGATTCAAGAATTATTGTTCAAAGCATTCTCATACTTAGCCAGGCTACAGTCTGGCAAAGTGGTCTTAATAAACAATTTGTTGCCATTCAGTGATGTATCATGATTTGCTTCTTTGTTTAGATGGCTGACAGAGGGTAAATATTACGAGGACTTACCAGAAGATGAAAATGGAGTATCTCTCTTCACTCTAACAGTTATTAAAGACAGGACAGCTATACAATGTGAGGCAAAAAATAACCACAATATCGACTCAAAGACAGCCTACATTACAGCTGCTAAAGGTAACAAATTTTCTCATTTTCCAAATCTTTGGTTCTAAGGGGTAACATGGTACTAGTCAATATCAAGGTCTAATAAACATGTGTTTCATTTCCTTGTCAAACATAGTCCAAATCTCAGTCATCCCAAACTTGTTGAGCAACATTGTTCCACTTAATAAATGAATGTCCTATGCTTTCATTTCTCTGCCAATTATTGAAAGCCCAAGTTTTTTTAAGAACAAGACTCACTCTGAATTTGAAATTTAATGTCAAAAGTATATGAAAAATGACCTTGTTCTATCTAGAATTACACAATATGTCATTTATTTTAATTTTATTTTTTAGTTGATGCAGCTGTGGAGTCTAATCCATCATCAGGAGTTTCAACTCAGTTGACCATTATTTTGGTCATGGCATTTGTTGTGTTAGCTGTCTTGTTCATCCTTTGTGGGGTCCTTGTCATGAATCGCCGTAGCAATTTCAAATTGAAAAACTTACCAACACCTGTTGATTTGGAGAACTTACAAAATAATCCAATATATGAGCAGCACACAAACTATTATGTCAACCCACAGCTACTGAATTGGCAGGTATCAAGAAACGGGATGGAATTCATCAAAGAACTGGGACATGGAAATGGTAAGTTGATTAAAATTTTGCTAAGTCTTTCGTTGCTTTGAAAACAAGTAGAGATAATTTGCTGTCATATCAGCATAACACTCCCTAGCAATGCAGTTGTTTATTTTGATTGCCTTCTTCAGGACAGCATGCATATTAATTACCCTTTTTCATTTACAGGAAACTTCTCAAGCCTCTTTCTTGCCAGTGTGAATGAAACCAAAGTGGAAAATGACAAGGAAAGAAAAGGTCCACTCTTTATGGTGAAATTGCTCAAAGAAAAATACTCTTTGGAAGAGGATAGAAGGAACTTTGAGAAAGATGCTATTGCCCTGACCACATTTAGCCACCCATATGTGCAAAATTTGTATGGTGTCTGTGTGGACAGCCCGCCTCTGTGCCTTGTGTTTGAGTTTTCAGAGCATGATGAATGCTTGCAGCAATTTCTCATTGAATCAGGCCGTGGTCATTGTTCAATCCATCGACGCACTGATATACAAAATGCCAAACCAAAGCTGTCAAACATAGATCAGATATCCATTGCCAAGCAGATAGCAAGTGGTATGGAATACTTAGCAGATAAGGGTTATGTCCACAGAGAATTGTGCACCAAGAACTGCATCATGGGCAAAGGAATGGTAGTCAAGATCTCAAACCTGGGTTTCTCTTGGAAAGGTCCAAATAGTGATTACTTCTCCTTGGGATCCACAGAGCGAGCTGGCTACCCTGTGAGATGGCTCCCCCCTGAAACCCTCCAGTATGGTGTATTTGAAGAGGATACTGACATCTGGTCATTTGGTGTTGTATTATGGGAGATTTACTCTAGTGGTTTAACGCCATACTATGGAATGAATGATGATGAAGTTATTTCTTTGGTGAATGGTGGAGACATTCTTCCTTGTCCAAAAGAGTGTCCCAAAGAAATGTATGAAATTATGCAAGGCTGCTGGAAGTTGATGCCAACTGAGAGGCCAAGGTTTAACTGCATTCATCACCAGATCTCATCACTTTTCAATGGAGTGCCTGTGTAACTGTGTTGCTTTCCAGTAACAATGATTTATTTAAGATAAGGGCTGCAGAAATGTTTATGAGCACCACAATCAGAACTTCTGATTGAAATAACACTTCTGACAATTTGCTGTTAATAAGTTCATACTGAGGAACAATTGAAGAATGTTTGTTAAAGGTTCTTTAATTAGATTGCATATGAATACTTTGCATAGTGTCTTAATTAATAATGTCTCAGACTTGATTTCATTAAGTCACAGCTTTGGGACCTGCATGATGAGTAAACCCACAAATATAATTTTTTTCTAGTTTAGAAAGTAAATTTACCTTTCCATTAAAATACATATTTATATATTTTTGTATATTTTATTTCAAAAAAATTAAGATTGCCTGTTATCTGTAAATTGACTAGTTATTGTTTGTTGACCGATGTTGGCAGAGTTTTTGTACCTTGTTTCTAGCATAGCTTTGTAGTAATTAATCACTTTGTATGTTTTGTCAAGGGTTGATGGACAGGTGGTAAAAGGGACCTGTTCTTTACTTAAACTGAGGTATGAAAATTGGAATTTTACAAGACAGTTTAAAGTGGATGAGTATTGAAAAGAAACTTAAACAATGTTGCGTGTTGTAGAGTAAACAGTGGCAAAATAGAGACTTGCATTATCTAAGTATGACATACCTATATCTGTTTTTTTTTAAAAAAAGAACTGCAAACAATGTTAATATTTAATATAAGTTTAAAGTAGGTCAAATCATGTAGTGCTGTTGGGAAATGCTCAAGGTTGCCTTGCTTTTCCAGTTAGTGGGATTTTTTTGGATTACCTGGTTTTTACTTGGGTTGTCCAATGTAAGAACATATGAAAATAAAATTATGGTGGAGCATTTTCTGAAGCAAATTATGTTGAGGAAGATTTCATTCAAGGGACAGAAATTGAGTACAGTTGGGTTGAACCAGTACAGTTTATTGTTGAGTGTTGTGAATAAATACTCAAATAAAGAGATTTAACAATGGAAAATTTGTCGGTCTATTTCCTCTATATTGTTTAATTCATTTAACTAAATTATAAGGAAGTGTGGAGCAGCTAGAAGAGAAAATAACAAATGAAATCTTATGAAGAGGAGGGTTAATCATAAGGTCAATTGTTGGAGAAGCCATTACTGACAGAAATAGACAAACTTCCTACTTATTCCACTGGCATAAACCATGTCTAGTTGCTGGAGGAGACAGTGCTACTTTCAGATTAGAACTTTGGAAAGAAATGGTTTGTGGGTTTTGGATAAAAACACTACTGCTTGCCTACACTGTGGTTTATATTTTTCTCTAATTTGTTTCAAATTGTTCCACTAACTTAAACTTTTCTATCTGAACTAATATAGTATGGCTAACTTACATTTAATGAAGTTGTACTATGACTAATTAATAGAAAAATGATGTTTAAATTTAAGACACTAATGTGTGATAGAAACTCTTGTTTAACTTAGATTTTCCTCAAAGTTTTTATTTTTGTGAAAAATTCTTAAAGATTTGTCTGGAAATACTATTATGTTAATTCACCTTTTGGATGACTGCTCCTTATTCTACACCAGGAATTGTTCTTCATCTAATTTACATAAAGGAAGTTATTAGTCAGTTCTAAACTCAGGCAAAATTACAGGCAAATCAACAACTTATCAACAAAAAAAAAAAAGAAGGATTTGCCTGACCTGCATGCTCCATATATGATGAAAATTTGGCCATGCATTCTGCAGAGTTTTTTTCATCATCTAAAGGTCATTATTTTCCATTTATAAAGAAATAAGACAGATAAAGTACGTAAAAACCTGCCAGTACTTCTGTTTATAGTTGAAGCATACTATAAAGGGATTAATTACCCTCACTACTTTGTTTAAATTTATCTTATTTGTTATTTTAAAACAATTGTTCAAAATACTATCTACAACTTGCAAAGTCAATAACATAATTTTAAAAATGTTACACTCTGTAACACTATGATTGGTGCTCACCATCAAGGAAATGGTGATATTGGTATTAAACATAACCTGTTTCTTCATCCATCTAAACTTGTGACCTCAAATGTTTCTAATAGACCACTGAAAGTGTGTAGCTCAGAAATATGGAATTCCTCTTTAAGGATGCTTGTATCAAGTGGAAATTCTATTGACTCAAACATGATAGATATTTTAATCTTGTGTCACTCTTTAGGAGGAACACCCAGTCAAGAAAAATGTTTGTTGATTTGAAAAATGTATTCTAAAAATTTTTAAAACCTAATTTCCAATACCAAATAGCATTAAATACTGTAAACACCATAAATTTAATTTATTATACTTCTTTGATGATGCTTCACATGGGTTGTTCTGCTCTATTGGCAATCACTCTTCTGTACATTTCAGTAACATACACCAGCACCAGTAAAATGATAAGTACATCATCCAAAAGACCAAGAAATCCAAACACAGACTCTGGAATGATGTCCAAAGGAGAAACAAAATATAAAGCTGCTGCGCAAAAACACAAGATGATTCTGAGTCTTAGAACCCAGACAAGTCCTCCAACAGAAAACAGCTCAGTAAACAGTTGATGAAGAAGAGTGGGCAGGTCATAAATGTAATCCATCCACTGCAAGAAAGAAAGGAATTGTTATAAGTGGAATTGTTGTTGTGAAAAATTATTTGATTGTTGTTTTTTTCACTACACTCAAAATCACAGGAATTGTTCATTAAATGATTGGACAAAAATCTTTTTCTTTTGTTATTTCAACAATTTTTTTTTTCTCAAATTTAAATGTTAGCTTGATATATTATTCTGTGTGTAACCATCAGAAAGCCGGAATAAAGTTTCTGAGTTGTACAACATTGTAAAAAATCAACAGAGAGTGAGCTTTAGACAAAACCAAAAAATTGAACTCATGCACAGTTATCTTTGTGAGGCTGCATTATGAGAGGCAAGTCAGAACTTAAATATTAAAATGCTTGTCCTAATTTTGGAAGATGAAAATAATAAACGATAAATAATATTGAGAGTATACATTATGCTTGATCATGTAATTTACAAAAAAAATTTGTACATACTGTTGAAACACAAGAGGGGTTACTTACAGGTCTTGGTATTCCTGAATATCTACGATTGTACTCATTCATATCATGTCTATGTTGTACTGCTTCTGGTAATGCTCTGTCCTCCTCAGAAAAATTTGAAAATAGAATAGTGACCTGTGAAAAGACAAGAATTTAACTTAAACTCAGGTGTAACAGATTTTGCATTTGTGTTTTCCTCCTTGGTAAGATAATTTTGAAAACCAGCCGTTGTTTAGGAAATGAGCCTAAGCTCCACTCCTTAGACATAAGGACTGGGTTTAAGGGAGCAGTAATAATCAAGTGTAATGGTGCCATGACTGAGCTGTGTTCTTTGTAACTCAAAACTTTATTTCCAACAAACTGACCTATAGATCAACCAATCAACTGACTTATAGATCAACCAATCAACTGACCTATCTGACTAAAAGATTAGTTCACCAAGGAAGTAAATGACTTTCTGACTGTCTCACAGACTGAATGACTGACTGAATCAATGAGCGCTGACTGACTGTCTGACTATGATGAAGCCCTCACCTGTTGTCTGCACACAGGACAGTTGATAGCACCAAGCCACCTTCCATACCTCCAGTATGTTATTATACATGGGGCTAAGAAAACAAATATATCGAGACTGTCAAGATATTAGCCAGAAAAGAAGGATGAGTACATGGAAACTTGATAACTACACATAAGAAGTCCTGGCATTTTTGTGTTTTTCCTTCGAGCGTTATAGTAAAGCGCAGGAAGAGAAAAACAAACCGAACAAAATCCTCAATTATATCTGTCAAACGATGATGTTACCGTGATAATATAATCGGACATATATGTAAGGGAATTCAAAGAGAGACATACCACAAAAGACATGTCCACAATTGGTAGTGGTACAGAATTTCGTGTCTGTAAGACAAACAGGGCACCGTCTATCAGTAGAATAAGTAACAGGTGGCGAATCGGGCAGAACTGGATCATCATTCGCTCCTGTATCACTTCCTTCTCGTCGGACTCCCAGTCTGTCACGCACTACACGCACATGCTCTTCTTGTAAGGGATGAATGTTTCTTTGTCCTTGGGTGTTGTACAGAATACTAACTAGCGCTATGAGCCCAAGAGTCGACGCCAAACCAATTAACACTTCATCTCCAACACCTTCCACTATTGTTCCTCGAGCGTGAAAGCGAAAATTTATGAGATCAAACAATAACATTAGCGCCATTACCTCTTTCTATTATCTGATCTCATCATACATGACAGTCCTATCCTCTGAAATGAAACTGCTAGCTAGGAAATTGCGGGCCCTTACAAGTCATTGATAACTTATCCAGCGGCGCGATATTTCTATGATTTTGTACTTCGTATAACGCAGTCAGTATTTTCTGATGAAATTTTCTGAAAAAGAGTGGGCTTTATTGTTGCTTTGAAAACTCTTCTCTTCGGAATAATGGGTACTCAGTCCTTGGAGAGACTGGTATTAGAAGGTGTAGAAGAGAGAGGGAGTATCGAGACTTTCGAATTTGCTAAAGAACTCGGGAAAGATCATCAATCTATTGTTGGAAGTGTGAAGAGCATCCATGCTCTCGGGGATGTAAGTGTGTTCCTTGTGCAATGGGGATATTTTATCGGTAATTTAATGAGAAAGATATTAGTAAATGGTGTTTTTTCGGGTGATTTTAAAGGTGATAAATGTTGAACAACGACAAGCCGAAGGCTGGGTACTGACGGACGAAGGAAGTGAAGTGGTAGAGAAAGGTAGCCATGAGTTTCTGGTGTTTAAAGCTGTTCCGCCAGAGGGATTACCTCAAGCGGAAGTAAAGGTATTCTATGAAATAGATTTTTGTGTGGCAGTTATTTGATCTCTTTTTATTTTGTGTGCACCGAATGAAGGAAACTCTCTTTACTTCCTTTGTTTTGATGAAACTCCACATGGATTCTAAAGAGCAGGATGGATGGGAGGCTCCAAATTCCTTTTGACAGGGTGGGGGTGGTCTCCATGATTAATTATACCAAAACTGAAGTTAGCTGTGGTAGAAGGCTGCCTCTATTTTCATGTGTCATTTCTGAATATGCCTGTAAGGTACTTACAGGAAGTTAGGCATATGAGGGCAGATAAATGTCCTAAATACTATCATTTCATCATTATGCAAGGCTGAATCCTCTTCCCAAGAAACTCACAATATCGCTTCCATAATGTCATTGTTGTTTATCATTTTGTGTTGACAGAAACTCGGTCCACATGCTAATGTTGGTTTTAGTAAAGCTATGTCAGCTGGATGGCTTCTGTTAAACAAGAATGCAGAGGGAGGACCTAGGGTAATGAGGAAGGTGAGAATAAAATGCTTGAAACACTTTAGACTTATCCTGTTCTTCACTTTTATAAAGTACACCTTGAATCAGCACTGTACAAGGATCATTCCATCTGTATTTCATCTGAATTTCATCTGTATATAGATGTTAAATCTAAACATAGTAGAGGTTACGCTTGTGTCCTCAAACTGTGAGCAGAAAGGATAAGTAAAATAGCTTTTGCAGATACAGGAAAAATAATTTAATTATTTTTGGGCTTTATTTCTCCATTTAATCTTTCAAAATATGTTATTGAAGGCTGAGGATGTAAAAGATGATGTCCAACTTGCACTTATAAAAATCAGAGATCAGCAGCTTTCAGACATCCCTGATGCAAAGATGAAAGAATGCAAGAAAAGGAAGCTCATTAAGACACAGTAAGTGCAAATAGTGAAAGATTCTACCCAGCTTAGGTAAAGGACAGTACCTTCTCAGGACTGTTGACTTTCCTAATACTTTGCCCTGTAGATTACCTACGAGTCATGTACAGTTTGTTTGCATTTGGTTAGGATCAATGAAACACAAAAGACACTTATACCAGGTGAAAGTACACTTCACCGAGAGTGTCAGCTTTAATTCATACATAAAAACAGGGGTATTCAATTGAATAAGTTTCCAATTACATTTTAAGAAATTTTCATTGTTTTTTCAGGGTCATCAAGAGCTTTTATGTGACCAAAGGCACTGAATTTACCACATCACCAACAAAACTAGAAGCTGATTTAACAGCAGACATGCTTGCAAGGTTGATTTCTTGAATATTATATAAAGTATCATTGTTTTACTATTAATGTAGACAAGAAAAATTTTACTAAAGATTGAAATAAAATTCAATGAAATTTATTCTCTATTGTGACGGAAGTTATTTATCAATAGGTCACAGCAATGCATTTTTATTTTTTATCAGACGAATTGTGAATATTTTATCCATGTTTACATTTAGTGGTTCTTGGAAAGAGAAGCAATTCAAGCCATACAATTTTGATGCACAAGGAATCATACCAACATCAGGACATCTTCATCCTCTGATGAAAGTTAGAGCACAGTTCAGACAAATCTTCTTAGAAATGGGGTCAGTAGAGAAGTTTCAAAACTGATTCCTTTATGGTGTTATTCCCTTTATACTCTGAGGTCAGTTCAGTTGTAATGAAGAAGATGAAGACTACAAATTACTGAGGAGTGGTTGATCTTTTTTAAGGTTTACTGAGATGCCTACAAACAACTTTGTAGAGAGCTCCTTCTGGAATTTTGATTCATTATTCCAGCCTCAACAACATCCAGCCCGTGATGCGCATGACACCTTTTTCATGGCAGGTTAGTGACTACTGAATGTTGCATTGGTTAATAAATTGTCAATTCAGTTCTTCTAATATTTTCTTCTGCTTTTAGAACCAAAGTATGCTAAGCTCAAGGAAATGCCTGAGTCCTATATTGAAAAAGTGAAAATCATGCATGAATCTGGAGGACATGGATCACAGGGGTAAGAACTAATTTCGCAACTTATTTTTTACACAATTCAATTTATACTTTGCAATTTAACAAACATTCCCTTGGCTTTGAAGTCAACCAGAGATAAATGCGCTACTCAGAAATGCAGTAGTAAGGATACTGGAAAAGCTACAGCTTTGATTGGAAGAATGACAACTGTATTTACTTGAATGGCTTTCAGTTTCTGGGGGTGATTAACACTAGATAAATGTGATTGATTTTTCAGATATAAATATGAATGGAAACTTGAAGAAGCCAAAAAGAACATTCTCAGAACTCATACAACTGCTGTTAGTGCAAGGATGCTGTACAAACTGGCTCAACAGGTTCTCAGCAATAGTTTTAGCTAATTTAAAAATTGTTTTATTGTATTTAGCCTGGTTGATGGAGCACAAAGATCTTTGATTTTACTTGTTTGAATATTATTAACTCTAACTTGTTTTTTCACTTTTCAATGTTGATGAATTAAATGTAGAAGTCAACTGAACTATGTTTTACTTGCAGGAAAAATTCACACCAGCCAAGTATTTTTCAATAGATCGAGTGTTCCGGAATGAGACCCTAGATGCTACTCATTTAGCAGAGTTTCATCAGATTGAAGGTGTCGTTGCAGATTATAACTTGACTCTTGGGGATTTGATTGGAGTGCTCTATGAGTTTTTCAAGAAGCTAGGTTAGTTTTAAGTGTAACTTTTGGTATTTTTGTCACATTGGTAAAAGGGGATTTACTGTATGAAGCAGAAGAACTACAGTCCATATATCAATAATTTTTTTCCAATTCCACAGGAATTACAAAGTTAAGATTCAAGCCAGCATACAATCCTTACACAGAACCAAGCATGGAAGTTTTCAGTTATCATGAAGGTACTCATTAAATAAAATTTCTGCTTCATCAGATTTCATTTATAGACAACTAGAGCTAAATCAGCTGACTAGAACCAATCTTCTGGAGCACTCTAGGTAGTTGACTTCATTCATTTACACTCATTTTTCTTGCCTGAAAAACACTTTCCATAGTCAGTATTGTTTGTGTGGTTATGAAGGTTTACATGATTTATTTACTGTATGTTACAATCAAAGATTTTAACATTTTCAGGCCTCAAGAAGTGGGTTGAAGTTGGCAATTCAGGGGTTTTCAGACCTGAAATGTTACTCCCAATGGGCTTACCAAAAGATGTGTCTGTTATTGCTTGGGGACTTTCCTTGGAAAGGTAAGTGTTCAGTGAGTGTTATCTGTTATTATTAAACTTATTGTCATGTTGTTTCCCATCTGTATTGCGTTTAAGTGTTAATTACCTTTCACCCCTTTGACTGTTTGTACATCTCAATAGTTGTATTGTGTACTTGTGGTGGATGTTTGTATCATCATGTAGTGTTACATAATTTATATCAATTTGTTAGGTTTTTTTGTATAAATTTTGAGTGAAAAGGTTTATCCAATGTTGGCTGATTGCTCTTTATTTTTGATTTACATTCACTCCAGGCCAACCATGATCAAATACAAGATTTCAAACATTCGGGATTTAATAGGACACAAAGTGGACCTTGAATTGGTTCACAAGAATCCCATTTGTCTTCTGGAAAAATCTAATTGAACAAAATAATGTATTCCACTTTAATCTTTGTTAGAGTGATGTTGAATATTTGTACAGAATTCTTGTCTTCACAATGTTACCAACAACTTGTCAAGTTTCAATGTATGTACTTGAAAAAAGAAAAGTAACCTTTTTTTTAAAGAGGCAGTAGTATTTGAAACTGGTCTGTGCAACCAGTAAGTGTAACACCTGTTCTTTTCTTAGCTGTCATTCAGTTGGAATGGGTTTGTGCATTGCATTTGCTTTATAATAAAATTTAAGCTAAAGGATTAACATTAATTTTGAAACTTCAGCTTTAGGGCCTCTCTACAGCAGCCAATTTACATTATCAACTCAGTTGACTAAATCAAAGTAAATGAATGGAATGTTAAGAAACTCACATGCAAATTTGAAACTACCAGTAACCCAGAAAATCATCAGACTGATGCTTGTTGCTTTCTTTAATTGTTTAGTGGTTAATGAAACTTTTGGGCCAGTCTTTGTCACCCCCTTGTACTCCTCTCCCCACCATTCTCTCCTCTATCTTTACTCCACTGTTACAAAAGTGTGGAGACTGGGGCTTGTGGCTGGGTGATAAAGACTCCCATAAGTCCATCCAAGGAGAGCTGTAAACGTAATTTGGGGTTTTATAACTTACTGGGGCTCCATATTTACAACAGAGCAAAGTTATTGTGCTATTGTTTTCTAAGCAGAACTTTAGTCTTTTGTCTCTTGCTCAAAGCTGTTGCGTCCTTTTTTAAAGGCAATTTTTGACATCACAAAAAGAAAACAATGCAGTAGATACAGTATAAACATCTTGAAGATGCTACACTTGGTAACACAATTTCAATGTCCACTGCTAAATAACATTGTTAAATGAATAGTTGGATCTTTTGCCACTGGTAACTTATAACTTAGCAGAGTTGTGTATAGTGGCAAGAAAAGTCTGCAAATAAAATCTGCATTATAAGATGTCTGATGTGTGATAACTTATTTCTGTATACCTTGTAAGTCTTACTCAATGTTACTCTGTTCAACCAATGAACAGAACAGAGCCAAGCAAGTTTATTGATGGATCAGAACTCTTCATTCACTACTGGCAAACACCACTTTAGAGAGCGGAAATATTAAAGGATGTGGCACCACATGACACCAAAACAATGGAAGTTTCTTTATTGCTGTAACCCTTATGTAGTGTTGTACCAAATTGAAAAACAATCGACACATTGCAAGGTGGGAAGACTTTTGCAAAAAGGTACCTATCATGATTCAGACTAGTGATGATCACATCAACCAGGTTGATTATAAAAATTGCAGGTGTCAGCTTGAAAAACCTTCTATAGTGGCCAGTTACTTTATCATCTCAGCTGATAAAACCAAATTATCTTGAATGCCCCCAGTGATGCAACACCTCAGTTTGTTTAGAATGTACCCCCTTTATTCATTTGGTGATGACTAACATTTCAGTCCAGCTCTCTGAACAACTTAAACCAATGTTGCCTCTACTGAGCTAGTGGTAAGTGAATACACACAAATGAGTGGGTAAGTACCAGGGTTTCTGCAACTAAGCCCCCTCTTTCAGTCATCCCCCCAAACAAATTGCCTTGAACAAGCAAATGTCATTACCATGTAGGGAAGACAGAATACCTTCCATGGGTGGAAAACAAAGATTTGGCCACACAGTTTGTTAACTCCTACAAATAAATATGCCTCCTTAAATAACATGTTCATTATGTCATATGTTTCTCTTTAAAGGTTAGAATTTTCAACTCTAACTGACATGTACAATTAGCTGTAGACCATAACACTCTATTCTAACAAATTTATGTTCCTCAATGGTTTATAAAGCTTAATAAGCCTTGAACTCCTAGGAAAATACTTATCTTATTTTATTGATTTTATTTAGATTATAAAAGTAACAGTTCATACTGACACTCTCAAATGGCACTATAAATTTCTACAATCAGACATTTATCTGTTTCTGCCTGATCAAAATTGCATTACGGTGAGCATCAAGTTTCTCCACAGCGGCAAGTGTTGCCACTGCTGGTCCAATGTTAGCCAAACCCTCCTCTGTTACATGCTGGGCTGTGATGTGTTTCTGGAATGATGCTGTTGATACACCACTGTACATGCGTGCATAGCCATATGTTGGAAGGGTGTGGTTTGTACCACTTGCATAGTCTCCACAACTCTCTGAAGAATATGGCCCAAGAAATACAGACCCTGCATTCTGTATATCTTTTAAAGAATCTTCAGCATTCTAGAAAGCAAACAAATTATATGATATTAAAACAATTTAAAGGGAAAAAAATTATTTCAGCAAGGTTGTGATTGTTAATTTAATTTTTTCCCCTCCTCTATATGATATAAGCTTCTTCAAACTTCTCTTATTGCCTGTTGACCCTTTACCCCACAAGAGTGATAAGGATCTAATTTCTCCCAACAGTGTCAGGAAATGAAACAGAGAATGAAGGAAATGATTGCAAACTCAAGAAGCTCCCAATTGTCAGGCAAACTCTCCCTACTATATTACAGGAAATGTATAGAGAAGAGTTTGGAGAATATGCACACTAATTTTAGGGTGTAGAGGGTTAAGTTAGATTTAAACATACAAAGCACATGAGTCACACAGGACAGGAAGAAGCCCTTACGCCTCTTATTATGCCTTTTAATATGTTTGCAACTCTAAGCTTCAAAGCAGTTCTCCATGATTAAATCTTATACCACGGTATGTTTGTACAACTGGTGGGCTCATACACTTGGAACAACATTCAAAGTATCTTGCCCATTAGCAAACCTTTGTGTTAATGATGAGATGTTCTGGAGCATATTTGTTACTGAAGCACAGAGCCTGACTCATATTTGACACTTTTATTACAAAACTCTTTGAGAGAGACTCTCTGACAATTTTTTCCCGAGGCAGTTTCTTTGCTTGAGCATCCACTTGACTCTAAAAAATTATGAAAAAATAAACTATATATTAATGAGGCACCAATTAAATATCTTGTGAAGACTACATTTTTTTTGCCAAAACAAATCCATGTTTTGCTCTTTCACTTAATAACCACCTAAAGGCAAATTAACCCTTGAACTAGAAAAAGTGATTTACATGTAACGTCTCCCTAAAATATCCATACATTATCCAGCAAACAAATAATCTGAATACTCAAACTTATCAGGTAAAAATAAAAATATAATCTGTCACCTGAATCATGGCAAGCTGGTTGTCACTCAAATTAACAGCTACCAACACCACTTGACTGTCTGTTCCATGCTCTGCCTGGGACAACAGATCAGCTGCCACAAATGAGGGATCTGCAATTGCATCAGCAATGACCTGTTGATTACAGAAGAACAAGAAAGATATATAAAAAACTGAAGCAAAGATGCATGGAGTACCCAGGATACAAAACAAAGTGATATAATGATTGTACCATTACTAATGGCACCAGAGAAAGACAAGATACTGAGTGTTTTGCACCCAAGGATGGGGGTAGAGATCTACTGTGGGTGTGACATGCACACCAACCCCCATCACTGCTACCCAAATGAGAAACTAGTTAATATTTAGAATAATTATAAGTGTAGTTGAACAAAAAAATATTACAGTGTGCTTCTACATTCATGATGACAGTGTATGACACCATTGAAAAGCCCTGCTTGGGTCCCTAAGAAACAGTGACCAACCCTTTGGGCCTTAGGGTTAGGCTTTAGTTTATAGATATATTTAATATATCTGACATATCCTTTTTTGGATTCAAGATAACAGAACTCCAATGGATTCTTTTTCACTTAGAGTTACTAAGTAACTAATATTGATTTTACACACCATAACTTCTGATGGTCCTGCAGGCATATCAATACTGACACAAGCTGAGCTATCATTTTGCACCAACATTTTGGCCATAGTTACAAATGAGTTCCCTGGACCACACAGTTTGTCCACTTTAGGAACACTTTCTGTTCCATAAGCCATTGCTGCCACCGCTTGAGCCCCACCTGACTCAAAAATAAAAATCCTTTGGTACTGAGCTCAATTACTTAAAAAAAAGAGTAAAATTCAAAGGTTCAATTTTTTCCTCAAAAAAATTTAGAATCTCAATGAACCTGAAGCATTCAGGTTTATTGCATTCAACAATAGGATAACACAAACACCTGATCAAATGCAACCTCTGATACTGTTTTCTTTCCATGACCAATAATTTCAGTACCTGCTAGTAATATTTTGGAGATGCCAACTTTCTTTGCAATGTAAAGGATTTCAAGAGAAACTGAACCATCTTGCTTGGGTGGGGTGGCCAGAATAACCTCTTTGCACCCTGCTACCTGGGCTGGAATACCCAGCATAAGAGCAGTTGATGGCAAAACAGCACTACCACCAGGAACATACAAGCCAACCTGCAACAAACAAATTTCAAACAAGAGCTATTAACCAGCAAACTATGAAGGGATTGGCAGTGCATGACCCTTAACAGACCTCCAAATAAATCAAAAACAAATTGAAGAAGACTTCTGTTTGAGTTGAAATAAGAGGAAAGAACTTCCAGAAAAACAAGATCCCCTTGACTGATATCAGATGGAATACAATTGATTTATTGTTCATTCAGCAATGCTGAACTGCTATAAATACCATGAGCACACCATACTAGCTTATTTAACCACAAGATGGAATTTTGAAGTGTTTACTCACTCTTTCAATGGGTCGAACATGTCGAGAGCACACCACACCCTTGCATGTTTCTACCACAAGAGGCTCCAGGTCAAGTTGTGCCTTATGGAATTTGTAGATGTTGTTGTAAGCCAAATCAATTGCATCTTTGACCTCCTTATCAAGAACTGGTTCATCTGTGGCAGACATGTTGATCACAGGGCTGCTCAGCTTAGCTTTATCAAACCTTTCTGTTAATTCTAGCAAAGCCTTGTCTCCATAAGTTCGCACATTGGTCAAAATCGGTCCCACAATAGCTTCTAGTTTCTCTTTGTCAACCACTGCAGGACGTTTACAAAGATCTTGTAATTCCTTATAATTAAGAAGCTCAAAATCAAAGCTTCTTAAAACAGAGTTTTGTGCACTGACTGTAGATGAGTTAGCTTGGGCAGGAGCATGTACTTTTGTCTTGGTTATAGAATGGCCATTACGGGGAGACAATTTGCCAGGTTTTGCATTACCAGGACGTCGTCTAACCTTGAGTGACCTTTGATCCAGAACTTTTTCAATATCACTCAGAGAAACTCCTAAGAAAAAGGAATGTAACAACAAAATCTGATTTTCTATTTCAAACAAATACAAAGCTCTAAAATAAGTCATTGCTTTGCTCAACACTTTTATCATCATCATTACTATCATCATAATAGTTTCTTTACTTCATGGGTAGACTTCCCTCTCTTAAACCAGCAATTCCCCCAATGTCTTAAAACTGTCTCCCTGCCCCCCCTCCAGATATCTGTTTCTCTCTGACATTGACAATCCATAAAAATGTACCCAGCAGACAATCATTGTCACTCATCTTCCCCTTCCCTAAACACAGCTTTTACTCACCTGCCTTGGCACATTTCACTAGTGTGAAATACAAAACATCAGCTGCTTCCCAAGTAATCTCCTCTTTTGTTTCAGATTCACACAATTCCTCTGCCTCTTCACGGATCTTGGCATGCAGCAGTTTACTGTCATTGTACAAGCGACTTGTGTAGGATCCTGGAGGAGCTGACTCTTTGCGGGACTTTAATGTATTCATCAGTAATGGTAAACCATTGTTATCTCCAAAGCAAGTCCATGTGTTAAGGTGGCAGAATCCTTGTCCAAGCTGACGTACAACAAACTTCAGGGTATCACAATCACAGTCTAAATGAATTTGCAATAAATCCTGCAAACAAAATTTTATTTGAAAATTCAATCCTTAAGCTCAGACAAGACAAAGATTCTTTGTGTTAGAAAAAGAGAGTTAGCTCCAAAGTTTGCTTTTTCCAAAATCCAAAAAGTAGACTTTAAGGGCAAGAGCTTGCTTTCTTCACCAACTCAGACTTAGACATCATTTTTTTTCATACTCAAGAATTTACCTGTTGGTTTCCAGATGTTTCCCCTTTCCTCCATAATCCTCTTTTTCTTGAAAAATACACCCCTTTCTTGGTTTTCACTGCTTCTTGAATACTCTCAGAACTTGAATAACACAATCCTAATGCAATATTATGCTCATCTGTCTGAGAATGACAACAAAAAAGTGTGCAGTTTAATAAAAATTAAAGAAAAAAAACTGAGTTATGTTTCACATTGAGTCCCACACCTCTGCCTCATCAGATTCAGACTCTATCATGCATCTGACATCTTATCTTACTTTCTGTACCTTATCAGCTCCTTCAAAACATACCACCCCCTCCCTTCTCTCTCCAAGCCACCTCCTCCCTCAACAAGCACTGGTTGAAATCAATGAGGGGTGTGCACAGGGTTTTACTATGAGAAGTGGTGGGGAAAGGATCCTTAACTAGCATCTTACCTGCATTTGGTGGCATTTCAAGTTGTTCTACCATAGTAAATCATTACCTTTTCTGGACATGCACCTTAAAACCTCCCACAACTGACCCATGTCATATACATAAGAGACTTACCACAAGAGTTGGGTAGAGTCCATCAGATCGGTCACTTTTAAGACAGGATGCGATAATCTCTCCAAGACTGAGATCATTTAGCAACCAAGTTGTACTTAGTTGAACCTGAACTCCGAGGAAGTGAAGCTGTGAGATGGTTGAGGACAAAATCACCCCATCGATTGATAGTATGAGTTTCACATCGTCACACAGGTGGGTCTTTAGTTCCTTTATAGACTCGACAAGGCATGATTCATCAGCAAGGGAAGCTTTTTTAGGACACAAAAGAAAAGTGCTAGATCTGTGTTTTAGGTCATTGATTTCTTCGGCCAACTCAGCTACAGAGTACTCTTGATCAGGTAATTTGCAGACAATCCTTTCTCTGGGTAAAAATTCTCCCAGGCTATGCAGTTGGTGATCTTTGTTAAGGATGACACTGTTAGCACCAGAATCCAGTATATCTAAGACCTCGTCTTCAGAATTCAGTTCAATTTCTACGCAACAAGAGGTCCTATGCATAACTTTCTTTCCAAATTCTTTTGTCTCCTGGACTTTATCAAGATAAACGATGGTAAACTCTGGGCACAAAGAAATTGTATCGAGGCAGCCTGTTACATCTTCAATTTTTTCCCCATCCTTTGGATCCACTAGAGTCCCTCCTTTCAGATATACACTTGGGATTATCATTTTGAACGTGCTGAATTTTTGAAAATAAAAATATTAAAGTGGAAATCATCACGTGGAGGGCCGAAAATGGGACCACATTTAATACATCAGCGGTTTCATCGCAAAGCTCATGCCCCTTCCACGCATGCACGAAAATCAAAATGGCGGAGAGTGATGATGAAGTCGGCCTTGTTGACGTGAAGGTAAAACAGCTTATTTCCCAACCTTTCATTAATTAGACTTCACAAATAAAATAAATTAATTATTTTCTTACGAAACTCTTCGTTAGCGGTATTAAATAAAAAGTATATTTAAATTCAGCAAAACCTGATCTAATGTATTTTCCATGCTGCCCAATGCAAGCTATACGCTATGGAGCTTTACATTTTCTTGAATTACTCCTGGAATATCCCTTGCCTTAAGTTCATTTTCATTGAATTAAAGCGACGGTGGTAGTCAAAAAGTTTGTATGTGTTTAGCTTTGAATGGATTCAGCCTCGGTCACAAAACCTGAATCAAATCAGTGATCTGTGGCTTTTAGGGCACGATTTAAATACTAATTACTGAGTTTTGAACAGAGGAAGCTTTCGTTCTTATTTATTTTTTTTTTAATAAAAAAGAATCACAATTCGATATTTATTCGGAAACAATGCTTGAGCCAAAAGTTTTGGATGTAAACTGTGCAATTAGCATATTAATGAATTAATTTTTAGATGGAGGATGGAGGAGGAGCTGGTGAAGACTTCACATTCCAAGGTTTGAAATTAAATTTGATAAGGTGAAAAAATATCAAAACACAATAATCAAAATAATTTGAAAATTATTGGCCTGTGCAGTATCATTTTCATTACCTTTATTAATGAGTCATTTGCATTTGTGATGCTGAGCAAATTAATCATGCCCTTACAAACACATTATTATTTTTTGTGCAATTTGTGGCTGGAGTTAACCAGAGGCCTTTTTCTTTCAGATTTTACTAGAGGAGATGACATAAATAATCTTAACACTGTTGGTAATATTGGTGAAGAACCTGGAAGAACGATCCCTGCTAATTTGAAAACACAATCACTGGAAGACTTCTCTGATGGTAGTCCTTTAATACATATTCTGTTCAAATTAAGAATAGTAACAGATCAATGCATAGCAACTCTCTCTTGTGCATCTGTGGATCAGATTGTGTATAGTTCAAGATAGGAATCTTTATTTGATTTGTGATTGGTTAACTTCATCACCAGAAGAAAACCAGCTGTGTAAAGCTGAATTTTAAAAATAAAAATTGGGAGTGACTACATATAGTAATGATAAGAATGAAGGTTCTTTTATGACTGCATTATCCTTCTCTGCTATAAAATTAAGAGGTTGCAGAATCATTCTTTTAATTTGCTGTTTTCTTCACTTGCAGATGATGAAGAAGATAAAACAGAGGTTTGCATAGCTTAGTTTAATTTCATGCTGCTTGTTAACGTCATAACTTGACTCTAGTTTTGCAGTTATACTGGTTTTAATTATATTAATTAGTGTTTTTAGCTTTTAGCTGGGCAGCGAAAACAACCACCTTTCTGGACATTTGAATATTACCAAACCTTTTTTGATGTGGACACATACCAAGTAAGATTATTACATATTGAAGCCATGAAATTTTAAATGATACTAACAGTGTTTTGCCTTTAATTTTGTTTTTGAAGAAGTTTGCATAAAATGAACTGTTTTCAATGAAATTGAGAGATTGATTTTCACCTCTGAAACATTCAAGTTCTTCCTGGATTGTTCTGTGGTTCTCTAGGCCTCCTAAACCAACATAACTTTTTTTGTTTTTAAGGTCCTTAGGAGGATTATAGGATCAATGGTACCAGTCTACAAGAAAAACTACCTTGTGTCTTTTATTCGTCCAAATCCTGATCTTTATGGTAGAGTATAAATGTCATTGTATCTATCATTTTTTTTAACAGTACAGGATATATTTAAAAGGTATGTTTTGAAAATTACTTCAATTATTGACATTGCTTAAATTTTAGGTCCCTTCTGGGTGTGTGCAACACTTGTATTTACAACAGCAATATCTGGTAACCTGGCAAGCTATCTGATCAACAGTGGAGACCATGAATGGGTGTATGATTTCCACAAAGGTAAAATTCCATGTGAAATATTTCTCTATTCGTATCACCTGTTCCATGGATGTAGAGAATCTTCTAGCCTTTCTTAACACGTAAGCCTTTTTATAAAACTATTGTCAGTAATTACTACTATCACATTTTCATCCATGACAGTCACTCTGGCTGCAGCAGCCATATACACATATGCCTTCCTGGTACCAACAGCTCTTTGGGGAGTTCTTCTTTGGAGAAGAAGCAATGCAGGATATTCCTTTCTAGAAATACTCTGTGTTTATGGTTATTCCTTGTCCATCTATGTCCCAATATCAGTAAGTTGTGAGAGATGAATGAAATATATTAGATAAAGAAATAAATGGATAAGAAGACCTCTCCAAAAATTCTCAACTCTTTCACTCCCAAGATCTTGAGTCACTTATCTTTCTGCAATAATCACTTATACTGCCATTCTGAGAATTTTTTTTGTTTCAGTGAACAATCTTCAGATTTCCGTGGATAGATTCTCTTTGTGTATGTTAAGGAGAGATGTATTTCATGTTGGACAACTGACAGACTGACTGGCTGTTCAAAATATTTCTACAGTGAATAATATTAATATTGTTTCCCCTCAGGTGTTATGGGTTGTCCCATTGGAATGGTTAAGATGGCTTCTTGTTATGATAGCAATGATTCTCTCAGGTAAGGAAAAAACTAAGACATAGTGTTTTAAATGAAACAATTTTTTTCCTTTAAGGCAACTTTGTAATAGCCACTGTGACAATTTTACAGGTGCTGTGCTATTGTTAACATTTTGGCCGGCGGTTGAAGATGATGACAAAAAGGTATGAAGCTGTGAGGAAACTTGCAACTCAGTTTCTGTCATTAGCCTTTTATTTATTTCTGTTTTGTCTGCATTTTCTGGTTCAAGAGCTGGATCGTTAACTAAGATTTTTTTCAAATCTGCTTCATTCAGGTAGCTGGGATTCTTCTTGCAGTCATATTTCTCCTTCATGGCCTTTTGGCTGTTGGATTTAAGGTATGATATTTTTATTCATTGCATTGGGGTTCTGAGTTGATTTTTTTTGTTAAAGAGAATCATTTTTGAGTAGGTCAATTAGGTATCTGTTTCCTTTTCATTTGAATGTAGACCATCATACTAAACTTTCTTTTGTTTGTAGTTGTATTTCTTCCATGCTCCACCTGAACCAGCCCCACAGGTGACACCAACACAAGCAAACAGAACAACGACATGAGGTTATCATCATCTTTAATATTCATTGATTAGTATTTGAAGACAGAGACAATAATTGTAATAATTGTATTGATGACATTAGTAGTAGCAGTAGTCATAGCAGTTGTTTTAGTAAAAACCAATTTATAAATGCACTCATAACCTAGCAAAACATATGATCCTCAGCTCTGGTAATAATTGTCTTATACACATGTTTTAACAAATATCCCACCTTTCTTGTTTTACTTTTCCTATAATCTCTAAGGATTGTTTGGTAGTATTCTCATATCTTTTATAAGGTTATGTTTGAAGACTATTTAGCAGTTAACCCCTCTAATTATCTGATCTCTGCATGCATTGCCTTTTCTAAATTTATATCTTTCTTTCCCATTTAGAGGAGAAGGAAAGGTAAAGAGTATTTGAATGCAGAGATGTTGAATAGAAGAAATTTACTAGCTAGAAACTCATCACCCAGATTGTTACTGAATTCTTGGTTGCCTAGCAGCAGTGAATGTATTCTTCATTCATGGATTTTAGAGCTTTAAAAGTTCATAAGTCATGGTTGTAAAAATGTGATATTATTTATGAGGTTTGTTAAAAATTATACTAAAACAAGCAATGGCTGCTTATTGCAGTTCACAGCTTGCTTATAGCAGAATTGTTGGGTGTCTAAAGGCTGTTGTTCAAGAGGGTAAGATACCCAGCCATTTAAGTCTTTATGAGACAAATTTTTATAACCTGGCCAAAAAAAAAAAAGGCTTAGCTATTGTTTCTAACTGTTTATGTAAAAAAATCTTCTGTTGCTCTTTCAGTCCCGTTAGTCTAAGGGCCACCCTAAACTTTAAGGGTGATTTAGTCTGTGCTCCCTAGAAAACTTGTTCTTCATTTAGTAATATCCTTTTTTTATGGAATAATTCTATTGAGCTGTGAATGTATTAAAATTTTATATATACTGTTGAACTACTCAAGGTTAATGTACCCTTTACAATGTTCTTTTAGGTGGGAGTTGTTTAAAAATTGGTGGTACAATGAGGAGAAATAAATATGAAAACCCAAAAGCTGGAGTCATTATTGCTCTTGGAGGGATTAGTTCCTCAGCCATTGCTGGCTAAAAAGCTTTCTTGTAAGTAAGACCAGAACAAGGGAAAGATGAGAGAAAGAAGAAGCAAAGGAATAGAAGACTTTGTGTAGCTTTCTTTTTCTCCATTTTAATCTTGATACTACAGTGAATTCTTCAACCTATGCTGGTTGAGACAACTGTTCAACAGGCAAATGAGCAAACTTCCTTCATATGATAATAAATGCACATGATTCATCAAATCAGAGGTAAATATTGAGTCTTGTTTGCTGACCCATGGCTACCAATTACTTGACTAACTGAGAATATGCATGGTTCTTAAAACGTTGCTGAAATAAACAAACTTTCCTACACCTTCACTTAACTCTAAGATTTTGATGTTGCTAGTTTAATGTTTACACTTAAAGTTTTTGTGTGTAGCCTCCAGGAGATAAATGGGATCATTGTTTGACTTCTTCTGTAAGTGCCACTTTAAATTGAAATTAACCTCTACCCTAAAGGTGTTAACTAAGAAAAAGAAGGCTTTGAATTTAATTATAGCCTTATTTACATTAATACACAAAGATATTTTAACCAGCATTTCCCTAACAACACGCTGCTGGGAAAGAATAAATCTTTTTATCATAAACACAATATCTCGGAGACAGATGTTGGTGTTTCTTTTGAGCTTGAATTAATTAAAGCACTAACAAGGATCATGGTGATTTATTTACCTGTATCCAACATCTTTCAGAAACTTAATTATCTTATTTTGAAATCAAAATTAAAATTTCACAAGTTATGCTGTTGCGAAAAACAAAAGGATTTTTTTGTGACCTATTACCGCTTTTCAATGGTATCCAACAGTCTATTATTTTGCGTACAGCCAATGACAACTTATTGGCTCAGAAATGGACCAATCAGGTGATAGGTCAGTGTTTGGATTTCAGAGCCAGTTTCCGGATGGTTAATAGTATCGAGAGCGAGTTGTTTAGTTCGTCAAGGATTTCGTGTGAGTGTTCTGGAATTTGGCCTATGGGGTTTATATCGTAAATAACTAAGATACGAAAACTTCCAGAGTTGGTTTACCATTTTAAGGATTCATTCAGTTACAATATCTGGTACCAAACACAAATTTCCAGCCGCGGTGAGTACCCTTCGCAGTAAGCGGTCGATCGCATTTTTGCAAAACTTTTTAGTCTTGGGCAAATTTTTCTTATCAAGTAGAATACTGAAGCAATACGGACTAACTTTCGTCTTATTGGCTATGATGTATTTCGAACATCGTCTGGAATAATTCGTAGTTTAGACTAACTGGAATCTCTGTCCGTCGTACAACCTCTCGATGGTTCGTCGATACGATCAAATTTCTTTTCGACTGAAAAACGTTTTCGGAAAAGAATTATGGTTTTTTCTTGTAAATGAAGAAATGAATACTTTAATCGTGACATATTTAAGTGACTGCATGATCCGTTGTTTGAACTGTGAAAAGGGATGGATTTTGTCCAATTTTAGTATGTGATTGTATGGAACACAGCGAACATATTCGTTCGTGACATTTTTGACAAGTTGGGGTCACTCGTGCGTCTACGGATATTTCGTATGAAGTATTGTTCCAGAAGTGCGAGTGTGGCTTCCGCTTTCTTCGTATGACGTGAACTAAACCAAAAGTATTCTTCTCCAAGGATCGTGAAGCTATGTTGTGCCGCTATTTCAATTATGATAAGCTAGTCTGAGCATTTATTTCCATTAAATTTGGTCTCGATTTCAACAGCGCTCGCGTCGAACGTGGCAAGTTTAATAACGTACCCAGTGGAGTCTTCAGTATGTTCGCTTTTGGTTTAATTTTTGAGCCGATTTCAGTATCATTATGATAGACCTGCTCCGAATGGATCTGGTTAGGTTACAGAATGCCTCGCTTGTTTACGTAAGATACCTCACGCGCAGTTAAACAAAGTTAGGGCAATCAGTTAGGCTTAGGGCACTCTGAAGTGTATATCACCTGAAATTGGAATTTTTAACCACAAACCAGTTGCGGCAATGTGTCCTTGTTTCGGCATTTTTGCATACAACGTCATCTTATTTTTCCTCTTGCCATCTTCTTTTGTCAATTAGTAACATCCTTCAATGAGAAAGGTCGATAGAATGCAAGGCTATTATTCTGCAGTGTCTCTTGAGGTTAAATTGAACTCTCCTAAATATTACTTATTTGCACAGTGTATTTTCATTCATCCCGTCTTTAATTAATCACAATGTGCTCTTATGGTTGAGGATGGTAAAATTGGAATACTTCAAACTACCATCTTTGATTTAATTCAGCTATATTTACTGAGGTCTTGTTTTGTTCCAAACCAGCTGCTATGATTTTATAACAAATTACTATGTTTAATTTATCAAGGTCTTAAAAGTTTGTAAACATCATTTGGGAATGGTTAATTTAAATTATATGACAAATTCCATAGTTGATCAGGATTATCCATGTTTTAACATGTCCCATGTATGAGTAAATTCTTATTTTTGGAAAAATTACTCACTGATCTAGCTCAAATGGTAAAACAATTATTATCCACATGACAAATAGTTGACCTGAGTTTGATTAGATACTGTGTATCACAAGCTCTACCTTGTGATCACTGAAGTCTTATGTATTAGCTTGTATCTCACAGCTCGATACCGCCTCACCAGGTGCAAAATGCCACCATTAGCACCCTTAAACCTTTATGAATAGATTCTTTGTCATGTGAACAATTAAGGAAAAGGCAGCCTTAAAGGGGTGAAGGTGGAAAATATTACATCATTTATCTATACCTAAGGTGTAAGGGGGAATTTGTGCCTCCCTCCATCAAGGAAAATATTATCTCTCACAGGATTGTAAAGTCTGCTAAGGTTAGTTATCAAGTGGGCAATGTTTTATTACTGACAGTGAAAAAGTTTGACCATGTTTGAATAATAGGCTTAAGTCTTTCCTTAAAGACGGCAAAGATATTGACAAACTTAGGTTCTTAGTTTTTTACAATGAAATTATCTTTTGTACACAGTATTCCTTACATGTAATCCACACAATTACAAACAGAAGGTTGGCAGAACATTTTTCTGGCTATGAATAATTTCTAGGGACCTTACAGAGGGTCATTGTGATATAATTCTATTTTAATTTGATTGACATTTCCATGGAATAAATTATTGTTTATGCTGTTTGAGAATTTTTTATTGGCCTTGTTGAGGAATGTGTTTGGCTTATTTTTAATCGGATTGTAAACATGAAGTATCATAGGTTGTTAATTTTCATACAGCAACTTGTTCTATTCTAGAAATTATACTTGACCAATGTTTTGATAATGTCAATAGTCATGGAGGTCCAAAAGCTTTTTATTTTTATCTAAGTGTATTCAATAATTATGTTTTTTCAATATATGATAATTTCAGTCAAAATTATATACTTCATTAAAATTTTGAATTTTTTTCTGATGTCTTAAAGGAAGTGATTTTGTAGTGCTTTAGATTTGGTCTTTGTAGGAAAATTGGTTTGAATTTGAATGTACAAACTGATTTAGGTGCAGTGTTATTCAATGCAGAACTCTTTGTTGAAACAATTTTAGTCTGGTGTTCAATGAAAAAATGATGTTTCTATGAAAAATTTTGCATAAAAATTTTGTAGTTATCTTAAATGAGACAGAATGAGCCCTCAAGCGGTTTAATCCATGAATTATTTAATTAGCTGATCATTAATCCTTGTCTTAAAGTGCATCTTTTTCACAGACTACTAAAAATGGCATTAAAAAGAGATCTTCATGTTCAATACTATTTATCCATCTTTTGTTAATGTTGAATTTTCCATAGCTATATTATTGCTCAGTCCATAAGTGCAGAATCTCTATCAATGATTTTGTATAACTGTTACAGAATTATGCTGCTTTGAATTTTGTCACTGTGCACACACCTGCACCTACTAATGACTATTCTATGGTTAATCTTCACAATCTTGTACACTTATATCAGTAGCTTTCATATTTGATGCATGGACCATGTCTTAGAGACCAGATGTCTGTCTGCATCTGATCATCAATGACTCGCCAATTACACATAATAACTGAAAATGAAAACAAAGCTAACTTGTTCTAAAAATGATCATGGTTGACCTGTAATAGCTTCCCTCTTGCGACGTTTCTTTGTTAACACTGATGATAACCATGATTTTTTTTTCAATCCTTTTTGGCCATTATGTCCTAATAAACCAATATGAAACTGAAGAATGTTATTTTACACTGATCAATTTTAAAACAGGTATGACAATGATAACTTACGCATGAATTACATTACACAAACAAAGTATTCATGGATATGGACTATGCTGTGAAAATTTAATTAGTGCACAAAATTTTGACAGTTCTCTTTGTCTTCTTTCAGGTCATTTATAGTGCATCAATTATACAGTTCAAGTCTTTTGTGTCTTGCTGAGCCCTTGACTGGTTAAAAAAGCTGCATATTAAAATCTATTGTTTAGAATAGCATGCCGAAAGAGATGATAAATGGCTTACCTAGGGAATCGCTAGTTCTCAACAAAGTTGCAAAGCCCAAGAGAGTTGTTTCTGCTTTCCATCAAACCAGTTTACCCAGTGGTATAGTTAAGCAGAATAATACAGATTTGTTTGTCAGAGGTGATGACACTCATGAGAATGGTAATGGAGTGGAATCATCTGGAACCCCACTTGTTATGCGGAAAGATCGTCTTGTTCAAGAGATAGAAAACAGCCTTGCAGAAATAGAGGACCATTATTCTAACACCAGCAAATTAGAAGAAGAGAGGTCTGTTGTTGAAATGGAAAGGAACTCTCTCCTGAAAGATATTGAAGAGACAATAACAGAAATTCAGAATCATGTGCTGAATTCATCTGATGTGGCTTTTGAGAAAGAGGCTCTGCAGGATGAGTGTGATGGTTTGCGTGATCAAGTGGATCATTTGAAAACACTTTTAGATAATTCAGCTGGCTTGGAAAATGGTGATGAGAATGATGATTTGTCCCATGAATTAAAGCAACAAAACCTTGCTTTGAAAGCGGATATTGAGAATTTAACTTTAGAAAATGAACAATTAAAAGGCAAAGGTCAGAATACTAATATGGGTGATCATACATCAAATTTATTGGCCAGAGAACTGGAATTGTTACATGATGAAAATGAAAACCTGCAAAAACTTCTTCAAATGGCAGAGGAATCAGAAGGCAGTATTACTAAAGAACTGACAAATGCTCAATCAAAACAA